GACTACTGACTAGGACTGAGTCTAGAAGCGAGAGCTTAACCTTGATACGTAGTTTCATCCCGTCAGTAGCAGGAACGCTCACTAAGGTAGCAACCCCCTTGAATAATAACATAAAGAGGAACCTCGTGATATCCGAGTGAGGAAAACCAGATCTCACGTGGTTGCTTGAGACTATCGTGTATCAGTAAAAGTGAATTAAACTATTTACCCTAATGAGAGGACCGCAAGTTCAATGCAGGAAAATAGAGAATGTTACCATGTTGACAGCAAAAGCACGGAGACCTCTGAAGGACGAGGAAGCAAACTCAATGTATCATCAGGCAATCAGAGCCAATAACATACTCACTTGCGATAAACTGAGGAATTGTGAACTGTGAAGTGGTACTGGGGCAATACCATCGAGAAACTTCAGACATGCGTTGACAAGCTCTTCCAAGTTGTACATGACGGCCAAATTGTAAATAAGCCATACATTAGAAAGACGAAGTGAATGAGTTAAGTGTGCTGACAATGCCGACTCCAAGCCACGTAAATCATACTGATGCGCCAAACCGAGAACATCTAGCATTGTCTGTGGAAAAGACAGAAAAATGAACGTCCGAGAATCAAGATGAGAATAACTTCAGGGTAAGCAGTAATTGTACTCACAACGCGATATCATAGGACTCCGCCTATTGTCATGGTTTTGCATACTACTCAGTTATTTCCACGAGGAAAACGGTGAAATCTGCTCGCATTACGGTCCTAACTTACTTGCTGATTCCGTTGGAAAAGCGATTACAGTCATCAATAGTCCCACTGAAAACGCAGTACCACTATTCATTTGTGAAACTTTGATCTCTGCTTTGAATACCGGGGTTTTAAACCATTAGGTCTAAGGTCACCAGAGACATTTCGCTTCTTTGTTTGTAACCTTTTTCTATGCTGTGGTTAGTAGATATTTTGATAACTAGCTACACAGTACAAGCGTTTGATCACCAGCTGAAAAACATAAACGTGTACATTCCTGATCAAACAAAATGATTTCCTACGGCGACTCCTTATGTGCACCTTAATGAATGAATTGTTGAGCCTGAATTGTACGAGCAGCATTGAGACAAAATTTGATGCAACGCAGAGTAGCAACAACAAAACTCGACTCTGCAATAACTTTCTGGTACGACAAGTAATGATCAATCTCGAGTTGTAAAACAGTTTCTATCTGACTGGGATTGAGGGTAACTGTACTTGATTTGGACCCCTTAAATCAATATAAAGCTCCATAAATTTCACTTGAACACAACAATTCACGTTGTTTGTAAAATCCACTGGAGATAGCAACGAATTAGGATTTCACTCAAAACAGGAATTTCAAAAGGCCGATAACAAACCGTTTCACATCAAGTGAAAACCATTCTCAAGTGGAGGAACCGTTAAGACTTCTTCTCCCTAAAACTTTTCGAACGTTTCAAATGGATTTCCAACATTCTTGTGTTTATGACTTTTGCTCATCTCAATACGCCATACAATACCTAAGTGCCATTCGAGAAGGAAATTAAAAATAAGGCGCTGCATAAACTGCCCGATTTGTGAACAAGCCATTCGATGATATCCCTTTGTAACGCAATGAGTTATCTGCTTACCATACAACATCCTTATGTGTAACATTTCCAGGCCGACTTGAAAAACCTCATTTACCATGAGTCGACCACCCAAAGTTACATTCCGCTACTCCATCTACTTTTTATTGACTGGTCGTCGTGAAACTCATGTTGCCCTTTATGATAAAGATTCTTTTGACTCAACTCGTCTCCTACACGTTGAAAGTTCATTCCATTTATTCCATCTGCACATCATCTCTATCTCAAGGGATTCTGCGCAAAAGTTACACGTTTTCTTTCATTTAGCCAAATTTGCTAGCGAACGTTGAACGTGTCTTGTGCTGCTACGTGAAGACGCAGGTAAGTTGCTAGCTTTTATGGATGGTGAGAATACTAGTTTGATATGCGTTTTGCACCTTCGAAGTGTAAAATGTTGATACAAGATGGGGTTAGGCCAGCACCCAGTCTCACTAAAACTGAGGAAGTAATAGAGCAAGTGGATAATTTTATTATTTGGACAACTATTTCTCATCGATGGACTCATCACGGATGAAGTGTCGGCGCGCATACAGAAACCTCGGTTGGCATATGCCAACTTCAGACATCTGTGGCGCCGTCGCGACACCCAGCTGTCTGTGAAGGATCGAATATATGCTTCAGCAGTTCTGCCAGTGCTGCTATACGGTGCAGAGACTTGGTCATTACGGGAACAGGATAAAAATAGATTGTCGGTGTTCGAACACTGCTGTCTACGCAGCATTGCGCGAATCGGGTGGGACAGCCAGACGAGCAATGCCGAGGTCAGGCGTAGAGTTTTCGGTAATCGCGGT